GCATTTCCCTAATGATTAGTAATTTTGAGTATCTTTTCATATTCTTGATGGCTATTTGTATATCTTTTTTTGGAGAAATGTCTATTTGGATTCTTTACCCACTTAAAAATTGAGTTTGTTTCTTTTGTTGTTGAATTGTAGGAGTTATTTATATATTCTGAACACTGACTCCTTATCTGATACATGATTTGCAAATATTTTCTTCATTTCAATCTGTTTGATTGTGTCCTTTGATACACAGAAGTTTCAAATTTTGATCTAATCCCATTTATCTAGTTTTGCTTTTTTGCTTGTGGATTGGTATTTATATCCAAGAAACCATTGTCAAACCTAATGTCATGAAGGTTTTCCTCCGAATTTTACTGTTTCAGGCCTTACATTTAGATCTTTAATCCATTTTTAGTTAATTCTTGTATATGGTATAATGTAAGGGTCCAACTTAATTCCTCTGCATGTGAATATCTGCTTTGCCTAGCACCACTTATCCTTTACCCACTGAACGATTTTGTCAAAGATCATTTGATCCTATATGCAGGGGTTTACTTCTGAGCTCTCTGTTCTACTCCATTGGTCTATATGTTTCTGTTGATGCAACTACTGCACTGTGTTGCTTACTATAGCTTTGTATTAAGTTTTGATACCAAGAATGCTCCTGCCTTTGGGATCTGACAGGTGTACTTGAAAATGCAACTACTCACATTCATCTCCTTTTCAGTATTAGATTTAATACTCTTTTGTTCATGTTTGTCTTCTGTGGAAAGATGCTTCAGGAATTTTATTATGTTTTAGAAATATGAGGAATAATTCACTTTCAATTTTTCCTACTTTTAGTTTACCAGGTAATTTCCTTCATTATGTATACATTATTTTCTCTATGTGAAGTGAACATAAATGGGTTATAGTTATTAAATTTAAAAATAATATATTTATTGTTATATATAAAATTTTTTGTATGTCATATGCTAGCAGACCAGATTTGAATGGTTCTCACTTTTTTATTTTTTAATTTAATAACAAGTCACATTGGGACAGAAGGTTTTTAGGTCTTCAACTTCATTTGCCCTTGGTTACCACTGGGGTTGAATGGGAAAAGGCACAGAGCATTTAAGAGGAAAAATGGCTTTATTGTTGAGTGACACTAGAATGAAAAATCCTAAATCAAGCACAGAAATTTGAACACAGTCATGCAACAAAAAGGAGATTCCCAGTGGGATCTCTTGTAAATTGGAATGGCCAGCGCTCGGACCCACCCCAGTATCCATGCTGTTCTTCAAACCCGTTCTGATTTGAGGTCTTTAGCAGTTTCTGTTATTTTTTTTTTTTTGGTCTTATTGCTAGAAAATTTTTGGGATTATTTCTGAAAGTATGACAGTTTTCACGGCTTTTAAAATATACTTTCCTATTCCTTAGGCTTCCTTGATCGCTCATTGCAGCTTACAGTCAAGTCCTTTTTATTTTTTTTGAAAGTGAATTGGTGTTTTAATTTGACTTTTCCAATGAAAAATAGAATTATAGAGCTAAATGATACAAGTCTTATATTCATATCTCAAGTATATTATAAATTACATCATTATTAGTTAAAGGACTTATAAGGTGTTACAGGCATTTATTTTAAAATCTTAGTGTTAATAAGCATTTATTGGCTTCAAGGATGATTCTTGTCCAGTACTTGGTGAAAGGTAAAGTGTGCTTGTAATGTAATTTTGTACATTCTTTATTTCTTTAGTAACACCCAGCACTTCCTTCCCATTTACCACACCCAAGATTTCATTTTCTCTATTTCACATGAAATCCTCACATACACTCTTGCATAGAATTGTTGCTATGCTTATTACTAGTGGAATCCATGTTAAATTTTAGCAGGGTTTTTTCCTTCTACATCTGCCTCTTTGATGGTAGCTGGGTTTACTGCCACTCACTTATTAGTGCCCTGGGTCTTAACAACTTTATTCAAACAAAACATCTTAAATGGAAGCATTAAAAAGGTCAAAACAGTGAGCCATTTTGTAACTTTTAGTGCAATAAAATGGGTATGTTGTGTTTGGAATATAAGACCTTTGAGTATAGTTATACATTTTCTTCATCTATAAAACATTTTAGAATAACAGCTTACATCTGTTTGGGGTTTTAAATTTTACATTTTGAAGAAACGTTACTGTTATATAACACCAAACCAGACATGGGGAGGGAGCTAGCTTTCTGACAGTTCTCGCTGGGAACTGTGAAGCTGAGAGAACTGTTTGTTTTCTCTGTAGAGCCATGTTTGCTGGGGAACACATTTCATTACTGTTTCTTCATATGGTAAATGACAAGATGCATGCATTACAATTTTGACTTGAAAAATATTTGAAAATTTTTCACACATCAGGAGTTTATCTTATGAGCGATATTTCACTACCAGAAACCAGAAATAAATTTAATTATTTAAACATTTATAGCACATTTAATTACCTTAGACTGTTGATTAATCTTGTTTTAGAGAATAAAGTTAGGATTTACTGCCAGCTCACTTTTAAAAATAAATACCCAGTGGGATAGTTTGGCCGTTTCAAATGTGTGATTTTAAGATTACTTCTTTAAATTAAAGGAACAATTTAACAAATAATGTTTAATAGAGGAAAATGGGCAAAATCTAAAACAGGGCGGGGCAAAGGTAGGTTTACAGCTGTGAGTACATGAAACAGTTTATTCCTGTATTATTTATTAATTATTAGATTTATTTTCCATATGAATAACTGTAAACCTGTATTCCCCTCATGTTATGTATTAAGTACTGAAAAAGTGGAGACAACATACAAGGCAACTTTATGGATTATTTTAATCAAGAAGTGAAGAATGCTAGTGTGGACAGTTACAATAAGTTATAAGGCCTTTGCATCTTACAGGTGTGAAATACTTATATTCTTGTTAAAATGTGATACATTTACATTTGAGAAGAAAGAGTACAAAGAAGAACATAAATCATCTCTAGTCCCACTGCCTGTTCTCCTCTTAAGTATTTTATTAAATATTATGTATTGATAAAAATTTTGGTTTTGATAATTAATTTAATTGGAAATACAATACTTTAGTTTCAGAATGGACAGTGTCAGATGCTTTCATGATTTTATGACAAAAAAACCTAAACTAAATTGGACTCCTGTTGTAGCACTTTGATACATGGAGTAGGATGTTGCTTATTTATGAAGATGATCTTCTCTGAGATTCTGCTTAAACTAATCTATTGACATTGATTTTTTTTTTTCCTCACCGCCATTTCCTGTCTGAATGGAAGACAGATCTTCTTTCTGTGGCCCTTGTCAAGCCCTGGGCTATCATTTGTTCAGCATAGAGAGATGATGTTAGATTCTTAATTTCTGAATATATATAAATATTTTAGAAGTAATATAATGCCCTTAATTCATGGGCCATTAATTCCTTCAAAATTGTGATCAAACACACCCACTCACTCACACTCACAAAGCCACACAGATTCACACACACACGCTGTTAGTGTTCAGAGTCTGCATTCACTCTCAGCAGTGAGCGGGGCCGTGGCCTGCTTGTGAGCAGTGTTTTCCCCAGCACCGGCCTGTGGGCTCAGTGGGTGGACGTTCCATAGGTTGGTGGGTGGGGTCCGTTGGGATTCAGTCACTTTTCTTTTAGGAAATGTGGAGGTAGGGTTCTATTTTTAAAATGTTGGAAAGTTTAATTAAAACCAAATAGATTATACTGAGGTTGAATGTACTTTATGCAGATAAGTGCACTTAGATGTATTTTAGGTAGAGTACTACTCAGGGCACTGGAGTCAGATTGTCTGGGCTTCTTAATTCTAACTGTGCCTTTAGGCTAGTTACACAGCTTCTCTGAACTTCTGTGTCCTCGTCTATAAAACAGGATGGTAATAATACCTCTCTTACAGGATTGTGAGGACTCAGGGAACTAAAACCTATGAAGTGCTTATTAGCACAGTGCCTGACACATGAAAAGTGCCTGCTAATTCCATCTCTTAATGTTATACAATTAATCATTAGTTGTCTTATGTAAGTGTGGTGTTTAAGACCACCACTCATACTTCATTATTACAGATTTTGCTTCTCTTTGCTGCTCTTGTGTGTACATCAGACGTTCAGGAGCCCCGTACTCCGCCAGTGTTGATCAACTCTTCCTTCTTTGAGGGGAGCGGACTTGCTGCATCCATGCTAATCCCTCTGGTCCAGTGTCCCAGCTTCCTCTTGCCAGTGGCTCTGTCTGTCTTCTCTTCCCTCTCTGCTCCCTCCCTCCACCTGCCTTGCCCTCTCAGCCTTTCCTCAGTCATCTCCCTCTGGTCTCCCTCTTCTTTCCTTTTCTCTCCCTTTCTCCCTCCCCAACTTCTCTTCTCCTTCCTCAATCTATCCCCCTCTTCCTTTTCCCCTCTCTCTCACCGCCTCCTTCACTTCCCCTCTGCCCCATCTCTTTCTTTCACTACCCCCAGCCCTCCCGCTCTTTCTTTCTTCTTTCCCTTCCCCTTTTTTCCTCCCCCTTTCCTTTCTGGCCCTTTCCCTGTTTACTGCCTCTTCACTCCCAGCTCCTTCTCCCTCCTTGGCTCTGTACCCCTCTCTCTCCCTCTCCCCTATTCCTTCTTTTTTAAACCCTAACAATTGACCTGCTAAGGAACAGACAATTCTAGCTCTTAAGCAGAAATATGCCAGCTATTTATTACACATGATAGGAAATACTAATTTTGTCATTTTAGTAGCTGAGCTGCTGCATATTGTGCTTGTCTTCCACTTGAAAACAGCATCAAGCATCATTTTCTGTCCCATGGGCTGCAAGAGTTAGTGGAATGCGAAAAGCAGTCACTGATAACTTGTTTTCTAAAAATTATGTGTATAGTAAACCTATACATTTAATGTTACCTTTATTATATACATAGTTAAAATGAAATAATGTTCTCACTAACAATAATTATGAGTTTATATAGTCATGCTAGGCAAAGTATTCTGTGCCTAATTATTTGATTTTTTTTTTCCTCTCTTCAGATTCCTTTCTCATTGGTCCAGTTTCCCTTATGGGAGTCCTTAAAAGTAAGTTTTTGAATCTTCATATAAAATTCTTCTCTATTTATTATAAATACCCAAAAGTTTCAGTGTGTAATACTGGAATATAATATTGAGTAGTAGTTTAAAAACTCAAAATTAGGGAGAGTTGAAAATATTTTTTGCATGTGATTTCCATGCCAATTCAGTTCTTTTAAACTTGTTCAGGTATCTTGTGGTCCTGAGGAATGATCATAATGGACACATCTGAAGTCTCAAATGGTTAAAGAAAAACCGTGCTTTACTTTTCTCTGTATTGCAGCTCTCTTCTACCCAGTTGAATTTTACTTCACTGCACTGTGTGTGTGTGTGTGTGTGTGTGTGTGTGTGTGTGTGTGTGTGTGTGTGGAGAAGTTAGGGAATGAGAGTGAAGGTGAATGAAAAAGGGAAGAAGCAGGGCCCTGACTCTTCAGCCAGGACTCCCCAGCCCACTGCCCCTTCCTCTGCTGCTCGCCCCCGGGGTCCCCACCGAGAGGAATGAGCAGAGTGCTGACTTGTGAGTCCGCCTCCGGGAAGGTCGCCCATTTGTTTAAAAACAAATGAATTTTTTGAAAACTTGTTTTCAAATATGCAGAGACATTGTGTTTGTTTTTCATCTTCCAATGCAATGATTTTTAAAATTATGGGTCATGATATGAATTGTGTGGGTGTCTGCCTGCATTTTAAAGGCTGCAATAAAAAGAAAATTATTAATAGAGAACATCTTATGTGGTAAGGATAAGTCCTGTTGTGTAAAACTGGTGCTGTGCACACATCTCTCTACTAGGTTTCAGTATAAGATGTTATTTCTCACTGTAAATAATCATCAGAAGTATGTGAAAGCCCTTGTTCAAGTGAAAATGGTTGACGAATCACCAAACTGTAAAATGGTAAAGAATCTAGGTAGGCATTTGATAATACAAAAAATAAAGGAATTATTCCCATTGTTGTGGAATTAGTGATTGTGCGTTGTGCTCATGCAAAATGTCTGTTGAAGAATAACAAAAATTATCTGCACTCTAAAAAAATATTCGGTTGCAGTTACAATATGAAGATAATAAAATGAGACAACATTAATCACACAAAATAAACTACGGAATATTAAGTATTGAGAAATAGTTCTTAGAAGTGATCTGATTTTAAGGAGTGGCACAGATTTATTTAATACAGGTCTTGGGTCTTTTATTGCTGTTGTTTTGTTTGTGTTTACCATTTTCTCTGTGCTGCTTGGTGAATGGATCTCGCAGGCAGGGTTTCCGGACATGATGTAACAGCTATCCCCCTCCCCCCTGCAAGAAGGTCACATTCCAGGAGCCTAACAGATCCCCTTTCTTGTGGGTGACAAAAGAACAATGGAGCCAGCAGCTGTCCAGCAAACAAGACTTACTTCATTAGTGCCTCAATAACCAGCATTCAGGCTGCGTCTGCACTCCAACATCCTATGCCCTGTCTCTGCATAGGAATGTTTTGAGGCTCAAAGAGGGAAAAAGCATGGGGTTTATTTCTTTTCAGTATTAAGGACATTTGTAATATTCTAGCTAGTTAAGAAATGTCTAGAACTTTACGGAGTACTCATAGATAACAATGTTGAGCTTTAACAATTTTCTTTGAGCAAAGGTTAAGATACTATAGTTTTGTTGTTTTTTTTTAAGTTGGATTTATTGAGGAATAATTTCCTGACAGGAAAATTCAACCTTTATAAGTGTACATTTTTAGAGTTTTGATAAATGTTTATTACTGCCACCATAACTAAAATATATATAGGATATTTGTAGTTTTACCTTTTCTAGAATACCATATAAATAGAACCACACACTATTTAGCATTTTGTGTCTGTTTTTTTCCACATAAGTTCATGTTTTTGCCTGTATTATCAGTTTGTTCCCTTTTGTCACAAAATAATGTTCCATCGTATGGATGCAGTAGTTTATCTGTTCACTAGTTTATGCACATTTGAGTTGTTTGATGATTGTAAATAAAGCTGCTATAAATATTTTCATATAGGTATCTGCAAGGATGTATGTTTTTGTTTCTCTAGGGTAAGTATCTAGGAGTGGGATTGCTAGTTCATAGGGAAAGTATAAGTTTAGCTTTGTAGGAAACTGAAGTGTTTTCCGAAGTGGCTGTGCCATTTCACAACAACGTATGAGAGTTCCAGTTGCTCTGCATCCATGTTGTTGCTTGCTATTATTAGATTCTTAAAAGTTTATCCATTTTAATAGTTGTGTACTGCTATCTCATTGTGGTATGAATTTGCAGTTCTCTCATGGCTAAATAATATTGAGCATCTTATCATATAATTGTATTAAAAAAAACCCAAATGTGAAATCATAGTGCTTTTTAGAAGCAGACAATATTTGGCCCTTCCTTTTATTTTTGTGTTTATGGTTTTACCCATTTCAGTTTGCTTTTGCAAACATTGAGAGTGTATATTATGGAAGGGTTTTTCTATTATGTTTATGTGGAAATACTACTTGGAGAGATTTTTCTGGGCAAGGACTTGAGTAGATGGCACGCTCATTGTACTGTAAGGAGTAGGCATCAGGAGGTGGGGGTGGCCACTTTCAGCTTAAACTCACCCTGCATGAAATGGAAGGTACCAGCTTTCTTCTAAAATCACACTTTCTGCTGCTCTGTCTCTGATTTCTGTTAATTATGCTGAGTGCTTGGTCTCAAACCCCAAATTAAAATCTGATTCTCCTGTCTGTTTTTCTCTATATCTTATCACTCACAAAGTTTGGTTGACATGGACTTTTTGGAACCTGTGGCCTCCTTTTCATCAGATTCTTACTAACTTATGCCTGGACTAAGTTAATGGTTGCTCTGCATTCTCATCCATTCTACACATTGAATTTGTGTAATCTTCCTCAAACATCTCTGAAGTTCTTAGAAATGTGTAACTTTCTAAAACTCTAAATCATGAAGTTGTTGCTCTCAAGGATATCCACACTGTGTTCCCACTGTTTTTTCCAGCTCCCCTCTCCTTATGCATTTTTTTGCAAAGTCATTTCCCTTCAGCCAGAACACTATGGAACAAAAGTGGAGGTTTGGCTGCCTGTCACCACAAAAGCCCGACTCTGAGGCAGGTGTTAATGCAAAAGGAAGAAGGTTTTATTTGACTGCCGCATCATCTTGGAGAACGGGGGACTCCCCATCTCATAGCTCATTTCTTCTACAGAAGCCAGGCCAAACCCAGCTGTCCTCAGCAAGACCAGAACCCAAGGCAGTGCCCAGACTTCCTGCTCCAGTTTAAAGCACCATGCTTTGGAGCCCAAGGCAGTTGCTAAGTGGTCATCCAGGCAGCTTAGCTTGTTCTTAGCTGCTGCTGTGCTTCAGGCTCCCTTCTGGAGGCTGCACCTGGAGCCAGCATGGCTATGGCCATGCTGCTGCTGGGGCTGCAAGGGTGTGTCTCCTGGATGGGAGAGCCTGTTGAAAACACCAGCAAAAGCTTCACCAGTTCAGCCAGAGAGGGACTCCTTCCTGGAGGCCCATGGAGAGGACGGTCCAGTGCAGCATCTAAGTGCAGGTCCTGAGCAGCAAGTGATGAGCAAGAGCAGAGCCAGTACTGCACAGCAAGCCAAGAGCGAGAGCAGAGCTGGTCCTTAGCAGTGAGCCTCGAGCAAGAAAGAGGGTTTCTTTGTTCCCCTGGGGCTATATTGGGTGTGGGATGGGCCAGGTGCTTTCTTGGAAAGACCAATTAACTTCCTAAACTTTTGAGTGCTTTGGGTGGGTCCACCTCCTAACCAATCCCTTCTTTCCCCGGGCTCCACTGACAGGCCTCTTTGGTCCAGGACCTCCCCATTGCCACCACTCTGACTTCTATGACACCTGTGCCTGCCTCCCCTGGTCCCACCCCTGGTCTGGTACCTGAAGGGCAGGGGCAAGGGCTTTCCCCTTATCCAGTTATCTTTCCAGCTTTTGGCGTCCTCTGGCCCCATCCATTCATCTTTGCAGCTTTCTGTGGGCTGAGGCCCTTACCATTCGTATTTCTAGCCTTCAGTCCCCTCAATGTAAGAATCACCCCCTGCTGCCATCTCACAGGTTGGGGAGACGCCCCTGACTCCACTGCCTCCCGAGGCTGCCCAGCTTCCCTGCCCTTGGGGCTCGTGGCACGTCCGGTTTCGAAGGCTGCAGTGGCTCGGCCACCTGTGGGCAAGTGTTCTTCTGCAGCTGGGCCCAATCATCGCTCCCACTGGGGAAAGCAGTGCCTTGCCCCTTGAGGTGTCCTCCAGGGTTCCCGCTGCCTCTGGGCCAGGCAGTTGGGCAGCTGAAATGCCACCATCCGCCAAGCCTCTGGGCTCTTTGCCTCACCTGCAGAAGGGCACCCTCTTCACCCTGCAGCCCAGCATAGTCTGCCAAGCATCGGGTGCCTCAGCTCACCGGGAAGGGGCAGGCCAAAGGTATGGGCTCATACCTTTGGTAACAAAAATAGGAGCCTTATTGTCCCTGTTCTGTGCCTCCTTTCTGCTGTGCGCATCCACGGGTCTAAATACCATGCATCTTTAAAGCCACTTCAGTTTTTCTCCTCCTGCTTGAAATCTTTCATTCTAGGATTGAAAAGTTTACTTTTACTAACCAAGCATTCGTCTGTATTGCTGATTGGTATATAATCAGGCACTATATTGTGTTTAAAACATCCTTAGAACTAAGCCTTATCATATTTGAACAAGGCCTCAACCCCTTTTATTTACAGATATGTGACACACACCATCAGTATACATGTACTGTCTGCGTGCTCTGGGCTCGGCATTGTTCCATTTCACAGCAATGCAAAGATAAGACATAGTTCACGCCCTTGGGAGACTTATAATCTACCAGAGACGCACGCCACACATCACTTTAAAGTACTGTGTCTGCCACTGAAGACTAGTCAAGGTAATGTGGGAGCCAGTCTGCCAGACTCCCCAAATCATGTCACTGTACTACCTCCTTTCATGTATATGCATGTGTGTATGCGTGCGTGTGTGCGTGTGTGTGTGTGTGTCTATGTACGTATATATACTTACAAA